CCAGATATTTTTATGGGTTCAAACATTTTTGTAATCCAACCATGAAAAGGATAACTAAGTAATTAAATTAAAAATGGCCCTGCACAAATTCAACGCAAATATGAGAAGCTAGAATTACGGGAGAATGTGATAAAAAAGTTTCTCTAATGGCGCAGCTACCCACCGACCAAGAAATGAACTCTCCAGAAGAGGAGGAACTTGACCTTAGATAAGGTCGTGATCAATTTCGCCACAGAGGTGAAGTATCTGGGGCTTATCCTGGACTCCAAGCTTCTGTGGAGGACCCATGTTTAGGTGGTCACCTCTAAGGCAACGAGAGCGATGATGGTGTGTAAACGTCTTGCAGGAAAATCCTGAGGATGCACTCCGAGGATCCTAGGATGGATGATAGTGAGACCAATAGTGACCTATGATGCGGGGGCTTGGCTTTCCACAGCTGGTGTGCTTTTGCATTACTAGAGCAATGCGCACATGCCCGACGGCAGCGCTGTAGGTAATGCTGGAACTCGAGCCACTACATCTCGCAGTAGAACGGGTTGCCAAGCGAACTCTCCTTAATTTTGCGAGAGTAGGCTTTGGAAAAAGCAAGATGTTATCAGCTAGAAACAGGGACAATCTGAGTACACATCTACCCCTTGCTCTGCTCCCCCGGGGAGGATATTGACAGAGTGGTGGTCTTCAAAAGAAACTTCAGGACTTACATTTATAGCAAGGCGACCTGGAGTACCTCTATTATGGAGAGTCACATACAGGCGAGCACACTACAGTGGTATACTGACGGCTCTAAAACGCCAGAGGGGATTGGAGCTGGCGTGTACGGCCCCTGACTGAGTTTTCAGTGCCATTGGGAACCTTCCCTAGCTTCTTTCAAGCGGAGGTAATTAAAGCGAAGCGAGAGGATACTTATTGCGAGCGATAGTCAGGCGGCTATTAAGGCTCTCTCATCATTCGAGATCAAGTCATCATTGGTTTTGGAGTGTGTAGAATGAGAAAGTTGATCAGTTGACTAGAACGGCTGCAGCCTTGGCCATGATAGGACCTGAGACCTTCCTTGCAGTAGGACCGAACACCATAAAGGAAATGCTCAGAAGGGACAATACCAAGCTGACGGAACTAAACTGGAGTAACACCATGGGTTTACGTCAGGCAAAAAGCATATTAGGAAGCTACAATGTGATGGGATCTCCCCAAGGAGAAACATAGAATCATAACAGGCAAGGCTTCTGAATATTCTTCATTTCTAAAGCTTCTGCAGAAGTCGTTATGGGGATTCCTAACCTCTCCGCGTGCCTTCCGATAGCAACATGCCCTGTTGGTAGACCCACGGTTGCTAAATTAGTTATCCGTACGTTTTTGGCCAATAATATAATCGTTAAAGGTATGGGAAAAGGCGGTAAAGTTGTGTCGAAATATGTCTACAAAATTTGTTTTCAAAATATTACCAGCCTATAGACATTTTTGAGTAGGTTAAAGCTCAAAAAAGCTAAAGCGCAAAACCATGATGGTGATATTTGGCAATAACAAGGCACTCGAACCAGCTTCACTTCAATAACTATACTTAGAAAAATTAGGCCAAAGATATTTCTTAAATAAATTTCTTTTAGTTTGGTGTAGCCAGCTGTCGCGCAGTGCTTCCCTTCCATATAAAATATGGGCAAAAGTAGAATTATGGACGGATTTAAATGAAAATTCGCTTGTTAGTAAAATTGAGGACGCTTCATTCAAAAATGCATTTTTTTTATAATAACTTTCATACTTTCACTGTAAATGCGGTTTGAAGTTGAAAATTTGCGTTCAAACGTGAGGTGTCAACTTACAGGGCTTGACCTTTAAATGTGCAATAAAGTTTTATTTTGTATTTTGAAACGAGTCGCCACCTGTTACATTTTATTAAAATTATTAAATTAGTTAAATGGATTAGAATTACAATATGGGTATCAGCAGAAACGGTTTTGAAAATGATTTATTTCCAAACGACACGTAGAAGGATTGCCACATGTTTAAAAAATCAAATTCACTTTAATTAAGGGTAAAATAAGGTAACTGAAATGTGTATGTATATCAATATGGGTATCAAACAAAAGGAAAATTTGGACATATTAAGCAAGAAGTAAGTGAAGCGTAAAAACATTTCTGAGCTAATTTAAGAGTCTAGTAATTTAAAAGGAATGTAATCAAAACAAATAACTGATTGACAGTGTATGTATTTGTAATAAAATGACAAAAACGATGTAGTAAATCTTTGGCTTGAGACATTTATTATTTTAGTTTAACTGGATTTGTCTTCACAAACAGGTGGCAACCCTCTTCGTAATATTTGCAAGCTAAAACCTTCTTAAGCCTCTTTAGTTTGACTCCCATATAGTGATACGAATCTATTTTAATTACCTAATGCCTTTAGTTCAAAAGGAATGTTATTTTTTAAACAGGTGGCAACCCTCTACATGTAGGTAAGAAATAAACACTTTTAATACACATCTCTTAATAATTCATTTATCTTAAATTAAAAAATTTTAATTTAATTTTTTTATCAGGTGGCAACTCTTAAAAAAATAAACCTCCATTGTCCACAGGTCACGAGCATTAGCAAAAAACGCATTACTTCAAAAAGTACAAAAAATTAGCACGTTTTTATTTCTTCTTACGAAAGCGAAAAATCCGTGCTATTCAATAAAATAATGAAAAATAACATATTTTTACATATATCTTTTATTCATTCTTTAAAAATTTTCCATTTTTTGAAATTTTGATAAAAAAATTGTTTTTCTGGAATACCGCAGGGACACTAAAAAATACTTTAATAAAATTTAATGGGCTATAAAACTATATATTCGAAAAAATCCTAAAAAAGTTTAAAAAATTTGTAAATTCGTAATGTACTCATTTTACTAAACTTCGTTGTAAAAAAAATTCATAACTCAAATTATTGTAAAGTGCACCCCGTAATACTATACTTAAATATTGCGCAATACTTAGAGCTATCATTGTGATATACATTTTTTTTCAGAACTAATTTTTTTTTATCAAGAAATTTGTATGTGGAAAATTTTCAAGAAAAAAAGCTGAAAATATTTGGGCAATTCACAAGGTGTTGTGAAGTTATATTTTCCTAACAAAAGTTGTGTTAAAACACGACGGTTGTGAACACCTGTTACGATTATTTATTATATCTCAGCACTTAACCTCACATAACACCGAATAAACATAGGTTGCAGAGTTGTATCGTCATGTGTTATTTTTCTTCACAAAACAATAACAACATTTTTACAACTGTCATGAAATATCGTGACTTCACGACAAACACGACAAATACGACACCTTGTGAATTGCCCAATTATTTTTTTGATAGGGAATTTGGATGGATGTATGTGTGATTTTTCCGATGAAAATATTTTAATTGCGCATGCATGTTCACTTTGAGCAAATTTTGAGCACTGGTTGGGGAAATCTTCGGTAGATTGGGCAAATCGCCCTTCTTCCTAATTGGGAAAAACTTTATCATCTTCAGAAAAAAAAATCATAACTCGAAAACTCAAATTTTAGCATATTGATACTCGCACTGAAAATAGTTTATACTATACCCTAATAGACAAAAAAGTTTGAGAAAAAAAGATGTGGCAATTTGATAACAAGCAATTTGAAAAGAATTTTTTTTTGTTTATTAACAATAATTAATTTTTAATAAACAATTAGTGGTGTTTAGTTCACTAGATCGATTCAGTATCAAAAGTTGCTATTAATAGAGGAAAAAAGAAGCGTTCGTACTCAAAAAAAAAAAAAAATCATTCCAAAAATTCGAATTTTTGAGCAAAAAGAAAAAAATACGTGCCTCCTTAAATTGTTCAAGGAACAATCCCTGTGAGTTTTATCGCAAACTCAAATACACTTTCCCTCGGCCTGGGTGATTTGAGATGGAAAGACCCTATAGGGAAATTTCTGTTAATTCTTTTTAGTGGATAAATTGTCTTTACAAAAATACCAAACACGTTCACAATGCAGAGAACGAATTTTTCGATTTTTCCCTACTTATTCGGCACTATGGGTCGGCTGTTTTGGTTTTTATTTAGTTTAGATGCTCTTTTTTTGGAGCATAACATTAATTGACCGGATGTAAGAAATATCTAATTAGAATTGCTGGCATCTTCGATCGCCTCTGTATTATTTAAGTACATCAATATCGGAATAGCTTAACAACAAGTTAGTTTAATTTAGTTTAGTTTCATTAATATGCTGATATCTAGCCACAACTATGGCATTGGCATTACATCAAAGACCTTAAACGAGTGCAACTTCTTTTCTAAGTCTCTTCTCGGAAGATTACAGAAGCTACAAAAAACAATAAATGATTGATGTAAAAATACTGGTATTTTATACAAAACAAGACGCTAATAAAATAAATAATAATCAAATGAGGTTAATAAGCATACAAAGCAGCCAAACTGAATACCTACGTATATAATTCTAGCGTTTAAACTTCCGTATCTTAGCCCAAAATGCAGTTACACGCAGCAGCTTGACTTTGTTGACCTTTACCAAACATCGAAGTCAAATCGTATAAATACGCGCTCAATAGCCAATTTAGATATTATCAAACTTTAAGCGTTGTGGTGTAAACAGCTCGACTAATCAACAATACAAAAAAAATGGTGCGTAAACAAGTGACAAAAAGTTATTGACTATTAACTACAAAAAAAAAAACAAGTAGCAGAAAACGTAAAATAAAACTAACTAAAATACCTTAGCATACCGCGTTTCCAAAGCAAATATTCACAGCTTCCGTCTTCTTTGCTTTAGCAACCAATCACTGCAAATGCCTCTAACTGACTACAATTATACGAGTTTATTAATTATCTATCTTCTCTACTCCCAACTTGCTAGAAATTCTTCGTAGCTGCTGTCTCCTTCGCCTTGCTGGCTTACGTTGCTGCTGATGTTTCGCATCTTGGTGGCGGCTATAATTATCCCGCTCCTGTGCACGAGGCAGTTCAATCGCAACCAATTGTTCCACAAAATACCTACCTTCCACCACCATCCCAAGGTTACAGCTATCCAGCTCCAGTGCATGAGGAAGTAAAATCAGAGCCAATTGTTCCACAAAACACCTACATTCCTCCACCACCACCACCACCACCACAAAACACTTACATCCCACCAGCTCCAGTGCAGGAAGCTGTGCTCTCGGAGCCAATTGCACCACCACAGAACACCTACATTCCACCACCAGCAGCACCACAGAACACCTACATCCCACCACCAGCTCCGGTTCAAGAAGCTGTGCTCTCTCAGCCAATTGCTGCTCCTCAAAACACCTACCTTCCTCCAACTTCTTCGCACGGTCAGGATGGTTATCGTTACAAGACCGTTCGACGTGTTGTCTATAGACGCCGTTTCTAAATGTTGCCATGGAATGTTGTTTATTGTTGTTAGTTGATATTGTTATATACATACATAAGTACTTGTGTACCTAAACAAATTTTATTAGTAAATGTTTAATTGAATGCAAAAATGAGCATCGTTATTGATCGTTGTCGTTTCGTTTATCCGAAAATATTTATTCGACCTCTGAGGATTTTTTTAGTGCTGTTGTCCAGTGCAGACTTTATTGCAAAGTGAATTTCGTCACTTCTAATCTAAAGAAAGGTCACCAACTCTAGAAAACTTTTACAAGTATTGAATATTTCGGTGAGTCGAATGTGACGGTTATAGAGTGGAGATAGGCACTTCATTCGTTTTCAGAGCTTCTTTGGGTGTTCTATATATTGAACGGTCAGGATGAAAGGTCTCCTGCTTTACTAAAAAACTGCTATGTAGCTGGTGGAGTGACCATAACGAGTACCCAGTTTTCAATAAAAAGCAAATTTTTTTACTTAACTCCGACCATTACTTTCACATAAGAATGAACTGTGACTACACTGAGAAAAAAAGCAATCAAAAATTGGTTAATATTACCAAATTCAAACTGTAAAAGGAATCAATATTTTTTTTCTTTAATATTAACAATGCCTTGGTTTTTAATTTTAATTACATATTGTTTTTAAAGGTGTAGCATATTTTTAAGAGAAACCATATAAATCCAAGTTTCAATCTTTGTGCAAAATTAATAAACGCAATTACAAACTTTGTAAAAATTTCGAGCTTTTTAATTAGATTTTTTAAACACATTTTGATTATGCAGTTTTGTAGCCCAATTTCAAGTACCATTGATTTTTGGGAATTTTTTTCGTCGAAGATGTTGCTCATTTTCTCCATATAACAAAAAAAAATCGTCGAAAATGTTTTGTATGGAATAAAAAAGCTAACATGGTCAAAAAAAAAAAACCAAAAATCAGTTCCTTTAAACTTGCAGTAAAATTGAATGGGCTAAAAAACTGCTTACTCAAAATATTTATTAAAAATCGAATTAAAAAATTCGAAATTTTTACTTAAGTTTGTTGATTTTTTTAAAACGTTGCACAGAGATTCAAGCTTGGATTTATATGGTAATGATTATACAATATTTTTATAAACAAATAATGAAAATTAAAATATATTAAGACAAATGGTAAAATTTTATCAAAATGTAAGTGCCGTAAAGTTATGACAAGGTATATAAATTCATAGTTTTTAATTAAAGACATTTGCATGCTTTCTTATTCTATTTAATTAAAAGGGATGTATTCGCCACTGGTCCTGATATATGAAAAAAATACCTTCTAAACGCACTTGAACGGAGGAAGCAAATTTCAAGCAAAATTGGTAATGTTTTTTTTTGAGGTTTGCGGAACATAAAACTTTTGTAGTGGCAGGTTTTTACCTATTTCCATGTACATACATACTTACATATACATACATAAATTAAGGCGCCCATTTACACACTTCTGGTTTAGATCTTCGTCTAACTTCAAAAAAAAAGACAAAAAAAAACAGTAGCAAAAAACACTTACATTAGCATAACTCGTAAGGCACTTAAGGTCTGAAAAAAAGAAAAAAAAACAAACAAACATTATTTGCGTTAACTTAACCGAAGCGAACGAAATCCATTAATGTTACCTACGCGATTTGCGCTTTGTACCACTTCCCAAGTATGAGCTGCATAAAAAAAAATCGACTATTTTCCCAGATGCCTTTTTTTGTTCGCCACTAATTTTCTGACATTCTTATTGTTATTGTTATAAGTATACATTATGTACTTATATGGACATAATATGTACATATGTATGAATGTACTTACCTGGCAGGGAAAGCCACTTGTTGTGTTGTGTGCCCAAGTAGTTCACGTTCTAGAATTCTTCAATGTTAGCGACTGGTATTTTTAGCATGGTGATGTCCTGCGGGATGTAAATTGTCTGGCTAAGTATCTGCGCTTACCAGTATAAATAATAGAATAATACGGCTTTTCCACGGCACGTAGTTCGCTCTCTCATTTGTAATTCGCACTCCAATTACCTTTCGAATTTCGTAATTCGCCATATAAAATTTAGAGAGCGAATTACCTCAATTGTTGGTAACTCAGATCCAATTACATACTGTGCGAAAATCAAAACTTGCATTTTTTCTGAGTACAAAAGGTAAAGTTTATAAATGTGTATATCCCTAATTTAATATGGAAATCTATAAATTTTTAGGAGGAACCTGCATTTTGCATCAAGTTTGCAGCGAAGAAAACAGAAACAAAACTCAGAGACAACGAACTGTCAAATCGAATTAAGAATGTGCTCGAACAAAGTAATTCAGGATGCCGTGGGAAAATGGTATAAACCGATTCATTTCCCATGAAAGTAATAAGCGTACAACAGTCGCAATAGCCGACAGAGCAAAGCACCAGCGTGCCATCCCTAATATCTGGGGTTCGAATCCTTGGGCAACGAAATTTATTTTTGATATGTTTAATTTTTTTTTTAACTTTTTATACAGTTAATTTTTAAATTTTGTATTTTTAAAAAGAAAATTATTTCTAAAATCTCAATTATTTTTTTATGGTACAAGTATTTATTACGTTTTTTCTCAAATGAAATTAGATTTTTAACTGCCACTGTTGAGGAAAATAATAAACGAAAAAATGCCTAAAAATATCCAGCAGAAAAATCTTAACCGCCTTCGAGCGGGTTCGAACCTGCTATCTCAGCACTAGAATCGGTAGTTTTCACGCAAAACCACAGTCGTTGCGTTATATATTTGACTTTGATATTTTAAAGTCAGATATCGTTGATTGTATAAGTTCTTCGAAATTATCAAACTGGTAGGCCTTCGCTTTGGCTCATACTAGTTAATGAACTGGTATTTTTACTGATTGGGTTGGCTTTTCGCTGCAGGGATACGAACATATATATATATTTTTTTTTTTTGTTTTGGCAACATAACACATTTCAGGTGCTGATAAGTAGACAAAAAAAAATGGTGGTTATATAATACCAGCAAAACAACCGGATAAAATAGTCAAAAAACATCCATAGATAACATTTCATGATTAAAATGTGAATTTGCCCAAATATTCGCTGGGATATACATAAGTAGATACATATGTATGTAAGTATTTATATGTAATTATGTAAATATGTAAAAGTTTTCCGAAATTGCACTGCAAATATGCAGACATACATATCTATAATCATTTGCATATGTATAAATTTTCAATGAATGGGTCTACTAGGGTGATTGATTCGGTTTTCCCAAATCGGTTTCCACTGTTTTTTTTATAGCTACTGTGTGTAAAATAATAGCTGCTGTACAGGCGTTTTGAAAAATAAAAGGGTAAAAGAAAGTATTTTATTGTTAATTTACCACAGATTTTACTTTAATTTTATTAATTTGTTTTAAAATTTTAATCCTTATTTGCATTTGCCAACAGTGTAAATTTTGGGAGATAAATAAGTACACGCGACATGTAAGTATTTTTCAGGTGTATTCTATCTTAGACTTTGTATAAAAAAAACTAAAAAAAAAAAAATTTACAGGGTTGGTCGAATGAATGGCAGTCCTAGTCACCAGTTCCGAGACTATTCGATTGCTGAGTATGAGGCCTTTCGTTGGGCAAAAGGGGAGTATAAAGGACTCAAAAAAAAAGCGACAGTTATTATTTTAAATCCTGTATAGACGATTTTTTTTTCTTAATTTCAAAATCGTTAACCGGTTTCAAAACCGGTTAATTTGAAAATCGGTAACCGTTTTTTTTTAATTATAATTTTTGGAATAACAAAGTGTCTACCTACCGGGTAGGGTAATAACCCGAAACCCGGTTTTGTAAAAAAGGCGTATAATTGAACATCCTAGTGTCTACCTATTATACACCTTTTTTAACAAATTGGGTTTCGAGTTATTCCAAAAATTTTAATTTGAAAAAAACCGGATACCGATATTGAAATTAAAAAAAAAAAAACGGTTTTATTTTGCATAGTATTCATACAGTGAAAATGCTTATGTTGGTAGGAAGTCATGACCAAAACTTACAACAAAAATATTGACAGTAAAGAAAAGAGCAAAGCGAAATAAGTTATATATTTTTTTTAGATCAAAAGTAAATCAAATGGATTTAGTGAAATATTCACGTTCGGTCTTATGTAAATTTTTTTAATACTTTATTGCATTTTTTCTGATTCTTTTTCGGATTGAGTAGTAGGGCCTAGCAACATAAAAAAAGGGTTTTCAAATAGCGGTCACCCCTCGACAGGCAATGGCAAACCCCCCAGTGTGCTTCTGCCGTAAAAAGCTTTTTCGGGGGTAGATCTCTCAATTTGTGTCACAACATCAAGAAGCAGAACACGAATTGGAGGAGAAGCTCAGCTAAACACGCCAAAAACGTTTAAGCGGCAAACATAAATTTATTGGCATCAAATATGTTACTTTGTTCATCATATACATATATACATACCTAATTTAAAACTATTTAGCTGTTTCACTTAAACTGGAAAAGGCCTTGAAAACTTTGAAAAACTCAAAAATTTTATTGAGAGGTCAAGATTTGTATGAAAAGAAAAACTTTTTTTTTCGATTAAAAAAATACGGTTTATTGGATAATTGAAAAATTAAAAAAAAAAAATAGACTCCAGATATCAAAAAACTGATGGAAACCGGTTTGGAAAAACCGTGCAAATCACCCTACTACCTATGACTGTGCATTTAGCATATCGAATGGCGCATTGACGGTTGTTGCTCCTCTTTTACGAGTATAGCTGCTAGCAGTTTATTGCCAGCATATGTGCAACAAGAAAATGGCTTTTATTTGGCTGGCTTTGTAAAGATGTTTGTAAGTACATATTACATATATGTATATGTACAGATGTATTCGCATATGCGCTTAAATCTTCAGCACTTCAAGCACTGGAAACCACACTTCGTTACAAGTGTACAAGCATATGCACGTTCCAGGATACACATCCTTAAGTATTTGCAGCGACACCATAGACAATGTCATGGTC